CGACTTTCAAAAACCCGTATCAGCTGATGGGATAAAATGACAGAGTACATCAGCCAGTGTCTGTGGTTCCAATTGTGTTGTGTACCGTGATGTAGATGCTTCTTGTGCTGACAGTAGTTCGCCAATTTCCAGATCGGATAGGGAAGTAATATCAGCTGGTAAAAAACGTCAAGCTTGTTGTCCTTGGGTTTAAAGACTCATAATCGTTAGTAACCTTGGAAGTTCATTTAATAAGGTGTCTATTGAGCTTGTATCCATCGTTATAGCAATTTAAGGAGTAAGATAAGTCCTGCGAGAAAAAAGAGAGCGCATTATGCGTCAGTGATATCCTTGTGTTTGTAGACATGAGGTGAGCTCGGTAGTTCCATAGCACACCTTCATATGGTTGGCGAGTATTTCTTGTGAAACATGAGATCTAGCGGTTGAGTTGGTAGGAATTTGATGAACAAAGCATGGTAAAAGTAGGTAGATAACTGGATCATTCCGGAACGTGGGCCTAGAAAGCAGGTGCGGAAGCATATTCACAAAACCACACCAAACCTTCAAGTAAAACACGGTGGACTTGAAAAATTGTGGTAAGTCTTCATCGACAAACGAATGACACCGGTGGAACCAAGAACGGGCGGTACTAAGTTTAGTGGTCCTCAGAGATTGTCTGCGCTATTCGGGTTAATCTGATAAATAGGCTGACATAACTCACCTAGAATAGCTTGATTCTTCGCGCTCATCCACAGGGAGACTTTTTCATTCAGACCATGTTTACATGAACTTTGTAATTCCATGTAGATCAAAGCTTAACTTTTGCATCAGATCTGGATTACAGTCTAGTAGAAACAGCCTAGAATATTTTCATCTAAATTCATACCATTATAACTAACGCATGTGATACACGGCGGGGTGGAAATAATACAAAAACGAATGAAAGAGGATAAGCTATAACGCCAAGTGAAATTTCGGATTGGACAGAATCGACTGATGCATCTAAGATCGGTGACTTACAAAGCCGAGCAAGGTGAGCGGTATTTAACATCCACGTAAAAAATAATCTATTTATGTTCTAAAGCACCAAAAGCTTTGACGGAAATAGCGAGCCATCTTGTCTTACTAATGAACACAAATCTATGTTTTGTTCACTAAGAGTCCCTTATCAGGAGTAGAAACGCTCCTGAATTGAGTGCCGTGATTTCCAGATTCATGTATCGTCTGTTCCTGCATGGGTCATTGAATTTCTCGTCCATCACATTTCTTGACGCAAATAATGCTTGTCAGTCAATGTAAATTTCAGCACAATGACGTGACTCACCTACTCTCTTCTGAGTGGGTATGCTAATTACTGATATCACCAGCTTTTTGTCTCTAAAGAGGCTGGTTGCCCGCTTCTTATATGGAGCAAAACCTAGGACCAGTAAATCGCCAATCGCTCTTACTTACAGTGGCCTAAACTATTGTCCCCTCAGTTCGTTTGTGCTTTGGAATATGTCAGTCATACGTCAGGTGTCTTATTAGCTTGGAAGAAAATATCATGCCACCTTTTTGGGGGTGAGGGAAAGGAATAAACGATTGCCAACCCCAAATTTAGTCCATCTGATCGAACCTACCAACGGCAATCTTCAAAAGTAATGGGGTGGGGGAAAGGAATAAACGATTGCCAACCAAGAGACAGGCGCCCAAATTTAGTTCATCTGATCGAACCTACCAACGGCAATCTTCAAAAGTAAATATCACTTTCTGTCCTTGCTATAAAATTTCTGTAACACAGCTATGAACGTCGTCCTAAATCTTTAAGTATTTTCATTTTTACAGACGTAGGCGCCAGGAGTAAATCTGGAATTACGCCATTACACATGCTTTGCAAAACGCGCCAAATGAAGGTGAGTGTCCTATATGCGGCAGTGATCCCTAAAATTGTGCCCGCCAATATTATGAAATTAACAGATAGGCATCTACTTAGCGTAGAATAAGGGCAAACCATGAATGTTCTTGTAGCTTGTTACGGAGCCTGCAAACGTGCGCTGACACGTGGTTGGGTGCAGACCGATCACAAAGTGTTTAAAAGCAAGCAGGGCCACCCATTAATCATGAACCACAGTCGTTATGCTATATCCTTAAGCTAATGACCCTCTGGTAGAATCGCAGAAATTTCACCTTATGTGGTCATTCACAAGATCAGAAGTCATGCCTCAACTAGTCGACAGTGTATTTGCCCTGCATTTTGTTAGACCGTCTGAAATGGAAAATACAAATTAGGCCTGCTGAAAATGTTTTTTTTTCACCGTTATTTAGATGTGCAACTTATTTGTTCTTTTCTCCTTGGCTACCAAAGATGTAGGTTCTCGTGGAGGTTTTACCCTCCAATCGGGGAAGTAACGATCCAAATAATTCTCTAGGCGGATGGACAATGCACTACAAATTTACAAGATACTTAACGGTCAGAAGCAATCTCTTGTGCCATGCAAAAAAGAGAGGAGGTACATGGGTCACTGAGTTACACAGTCGAATGAAGCGGGTTTCGGTTAGACGGGCTTGGAGATGGAAATTTTCTGTAGGCTGGTTCATGTTCAAAGATCCCACCAGTTTTTAGTATGGATAGCCGTTATTCGTAAATACGTGTTCTACTTACTACAGGCAGTTATGAAAATATGGCTTTATTTCCATTTTGGTCACAGATTTAATAAAATCCATTTCTGTTACAACAAAACCAAGTTGTCAAAAGGAATGTCATGCCTCTTCCAAGTTTTTCACATGTGGACTTTGGGTTGTATTGTACAATCGAGCTTTCATAGATCGAGGAGCACACCTGATATCAATAAAACTGAATAACGCTGACATTGGTGGCAAGATAAAATGCATTTTAACAGTTGCAATCTTACAAACTAGTACCCGAATAGGGTAAGTTCTTCGGGTACCGAAAACGCCAGATTTGTTTTTTGCATGTTTTTTTTGTGTCTTTGGATTGATAATACAATAACACAGTGGTAGGGTCTAAAACAATCCTGTTAACTCAGCGTTTTTTGAGTGGCTGATCTACCTGTAAAATCGACCAATCTAACAACTTTTTCTGTCTCTTCAGAGTAGAATTTGAACACTTAGAGTAAACATTATACAGGATAGCCGCTAGATCTGGTGATCTTTTGTTTAAATAAACAACTTCTAAGTCAGCGTGAAATGTGAACAGTTACTTGAGAATGAGTGGACGAGGTTAGCTGCCGCGTCCGATTGTTTAGAACTTCAATCGTCTCATCGTCAGCAGCGATGTTAGAGAAAGATGATTCATTTGGTATCATTAATCAAATGATGTAGTGGCGGTTGACGAATGCTATTCTCAACCCGAATTAGCGACTGATTTATTGGTCCTGTTTTCTCTGAAAAAACGTTTTGACAGACATTCAACCTTGCCAAATTTCCTGACAGGGAATTATTCTCCGTATTCATCACAATATTTGCCAACACTACATCTACTAATATGAAGACGGACTTCTGTTGGTGGAGGTCTAATTGCCCGTGAGTAAAAGCCAACACCAAAGAAACAATAAAACTTTCCTGCTCTTAGAGACATGATACAAAACATTTTCATTAGTGGAGAATATTCTTGTATATTATTCAGGAAGTGCCTGCCATCTAGAGAGACAATTCTTTGAGATTAGTGTTGTTTATCATTAGAAGCAGGAGCCTAAAGCGGATCTCAAAATTATACAGCTGAATTTAGTCAAAACCATTACTCGGGAACCCAGAAAATAAGAGATTAAAGTGTCCAAATTGTTAAGACCAACGCTGCTTGCAGGCTTTTCTCTAAGTGGATATCTGGTCCAAAACAAATCCACAAATGCGTTCTGTTTTCGACAAACACATTCATTTGCATGGTTTCCATTGCAGACTCCCCTGAATTCCAACCAAATCCCTATTTCACGACGTTCTTTTTCTATCGCGCAACACGTCCAGTCTTTCACTAGCTTTAGCGTAACGGCTACTTACACAAAATAATTTCATGGATGTGGGAAACATTCGAAGCTCGAGAAAGTGCGCCCCTACTTACTAAAATTAACTCTTTCCCAGAGGGAGCGCCGCAGGACCTTGGGATTTTATACTCCCTAATATGGCAGTGTTAAAGATAGATCTCATACCAAAAAGTACCGACAAGGAATGCTTGCACTTTCAATAAAGTATGCATTACTTTTTTCTGTAGCGAACTGGTGAGCTAGGTAAAGAGTTACAAATTAAGTGGAAGATTCTAAACCGAAGGCCTGATCCGGACGTTTAATTTATTTCGAGAGTGTGTGAAGTGAGTGGGGTAATCTACGCTCAAAATTAGATACTTTTGAGGCGTGCATTTCTGATCCGCAGGTCGACAGTTGTGATTCATCTCAAATTGACAACCAAGGCAATAATTTGGCCTATGTTATCAAATAAAGTGACGTGAATAAGGGGCTCTTATTGGCGAGTACACGATAGTTAACAAAAAGGTTGCACAGGAATGGAGTTGACGCCGAACATTCAGCGACTAATAGAGACACTGGGGTTGGAATCCTTCAGTAAAGTTTGCAACCGTCAAGTAACGAAAGTATACGTCTAGACAGACAACCAGAAACTGCCTAAAGGATAACAAAGGTAACAAATAGGAATATGTGTTTGGAACCTTACTTTTTCAGTGGGGAACGAGCTAATATGCCTTTTGAATTATCTGTATTGTGAAAAGGAATAGACTGAAATTACTTGCTTGGAAACCCAGACGACGGCGGTAGCCCTTACTCTGCATCTCTAGTGTAGTCTAATAACTACCGATCGCCGTAGCAGCTACATTGATATTTGCCCAGTGAGTGCCACTTTTCATAGGTTAACGTCGGTCATTAGAATACTTGAAACCAAGGGAAGCGTGGTGGGAAAAACATAAAACTTGGCAGTAAAGTGCTGTTACATTTATCTCAAACGATTAATTCTTGACGGCTATTCTATTAAAAATGTGCCCAAGCCGTACATTTCGATTTTCTCCNTTTGGTTCAAAGGAAAAAAATGATAGTGACGAAGAGGATTTGGAAGAGTGGGCAAGGCGTACTGTGGAGCGAACAAGAATGAAGAAAAAAGACAAGAGAAAATTCACGAAAAAAGACGGAGATGACAAAGGCGGTTCGACTGATCAGGATATCATTTCGTTCTTGGTCAAAAATGGTGCGAATGTCAATGCAACGGATTACAGTGGATCCACTCCGTTACATTATACGGCCCTGTACAACCAACCTGAGTACGCCAGAGGTCTTATAAAAAATGGAGCAGATTTGGAGGTAAGCATCTGCCTTACTTTTTGTTGTTTCACCTATTTGTCTGAATATTTCTATGGTTGTTTTTACGAGGACGTATCCTTGGGTTGTGGAGACAAAGTTGTTTGTAGGAACAGTGGTTATGCCAGTTTGTAATTCTTGGTGAACCATTCTGGACAGATCAGAAATTAAATTCAATCTCAGTGGTTAGTAACTGGCTTTTCTCTGCCCTGTTTGTACATTTAGTTCTAGGGATCTTATTGGACAGTATGCATTATTCTGAGACTAACAGCGTAGAATAAATCACATCACCTAGAAAACGTGTGATTTTTTCGTGACTCATGGTGTCATAGCCGAACCACTACATCCTCGAGGCTTTGTGTTCATGTTTTGGCTTATTGATGGTGACAGCTCCGGCCTCCAAAGCAACCAGTCAGTACATGCTACAGATATACGTTTAAAGTCGCTCAGGTGATTTACAAAACAAACGAATTGTCTTTGAGTGTCCATCAGTTATGTTTCCACGAACTTGTAAGAGAGATACTGTTGATCGTACCGTGTCAGTATATCAGCAGAGTCATAATAATCAAACAAACTGTAACATCACCTGGTCTAATTTTTATATGCATCTAGTAAAAGTACAGAAAAGTAAATTTTTAAATAATGCATTAAATTCTGCAAAGCTGTGGTACATAGCTGCTTAACTGGAGAGTAGGTCCTTAGGCTTAAGTAAAAATGTGATAGAGAGGGATGCAAAATGTGTGCTGTACGGATGTATGCACATTATAGTAGTTGAACACTTTAACCAAGAAACTTCCACGTTTGATGTTTTATACTGGCTTAATCATGCTATCGTCCCATTTGGCAAATTCCGGTTGACGATTTCCAAATAGTCAAATGACACTCGGTTAATCGTGCTTATTTTGTATGGCCTAAGAGAAAACACGACCGGGATTCTAGTATGCTCACAAAGCACACACAAAGAAACAAGAAATCCACGACCAAGTGCACTTGATAAGACAATACGGGACATTTTGGAAGTTGCGTATGACGCGTGACTCCCGCTCACCTTATTCTAGTGTGATGTTCAATTCTGTCCAGTAATTGCAACAAATCCAGTCATCGAAAAAGGCGAAATAAGAAAAGTGCTGACTAGAACGTACGTGCAGTACGGAAACATGGAGCTATACATCCATAGCACAAATGTGCTGAGAAGTGTTTAGCAGCAATAAGTAGTAGGTGGGTACTCACTTCCCTCCCTCAGACAGTTTAATGAAAGAAGCCTTGAATCAATCCACTAACGGTAAAAAAAATACTGGTAATGAGTCGGGGACTCCATGGAGTTTTGTGTGATGCCCACAGTTGATGATTCCCAAAAAGGGTAAAACAGCCATACAGTGATTCCTAACTTTTCAGCATAGACTGATTTAAATAACAAGACGCAATTTTCATCCAAAAATTAAAATCGCTGTGAAACGCTGCACAAAAATACATGCGATTTTGTCATTAGGTGGTTTTGCGGAAACTGAAGTTAGACACAGTTGCCAATGACAATATATTTGCCAATATATTTGCATGTTCATATATGGATGGCTCAAGTGGTGAGAGCGCGAAGTTACTAACCGGAAGGTCCCTGGTTAGAACCAAATCTCTGCTTGTCGACTTCCCCTGTCTAGGCTTAGGCAACCTGGCAGTGTCCCAGCCCTCGTGCTTCCTTTGGATACCATGGCAATTAGGCACCGAAACGGGCTGAACGACTCATACGGACCATTCCTGATTGGTCAGTTTTCCTACCCAGTCATTTCAGAAAGCATCTGGGTTTCGCTGTTGAAGCTAAAAAAGCAGCATTAAAAAACCAAATCCGATCGACCTCGCTTGCTTTTTCTTCCAGAATTGAGTTCATTCAAGGCAAAACTGACTAAAATTCGGGATATTTGAAAGTGAGCGTTCAAAACCTTTTCTCTTAAAGGTGAATGATGACGTCCTGTAGATTTATACGAAACGTAGTTTTTTGGCACGCGTACACAATAATAATCTGGTCTAAATTTAAAAGAGGTTAAGAAAATGACTCATCTAAAGGTCAAAGTCCTCATCAGAATAATTTGAACGAGGGGGAAGTCGGCAGAAGCCTAGCAATGATGTTTCCTTTGTGGCCAGAGGGGTAGCCATGTCAGATCTGCTTAAAATACCATCTACCTACCACCCTTTATTGGTAAGCTCGTGACTAGCCAAACGGAGGCAATCAGTTTAATGTTGCTACTGGGGAATGGCTACCGCATCTTGAGTTATCCTGGTGTGTAGAATGGTAATTAACACTCTTGTCAGATCTGCTTAAAATACCATCTACCTACCACCCTTTATTGGTAAGCTCGTGACTAGCCAAACGGAGGCAATCAGTTTAATGTTGCTACTGGGGAATGGCTACCGCATCTTGAGTTATCCTGGTGTGTAGAATGATAATTAACACCCTAATAAACTCTCGACAAGGCTGGCAAAGTCTGCAATAGTTTTGGTAAAAGACAAAGTCTTATCAGAAGACAAATGAAGCGTTCCATTTTTATAAAGTGAGTATAAAGAGTGAATAAACAGTGCTGCAGGAACCTTGTTCAAAGCGAACTCGTGTGAGTTATTCTCAGAGTATTCCGCAAAATTCATCTAAACATTCAGCCAATCCTTTAACCCTCATTGCTTTCCACTTTTGTCCCACCTGATAATTCAGTGCAGAGATATTGAAGGAATGACCCCTTTCATCTTGGCAGTGGAAAAGAATCACACAAGTGTGGGAAAAGTGCTCCTGGAAAATGGTGCTGACTACTCAGCAAAGGACAATAATGACAACAATGTGGTAAGCTGACAGTGCTGGACGTAAATGGTCCATTTTAACCGTATGGCGTCATAATACTAAGGTGACATATATTGTAACGTCTCGTGAGACAGCCCTTCAAGCAGAATTATGGTGATCACAAATTTAAACCTCTTTAGCTATTGATCTTGCTCGGAAATGCTCTTCATGTCCTGGAGGGGTCATTCTGCAGGGTCCATTATTTGAGTGGATGTGGATACGGGGAATTCGATCACGCAAGCCCTCTTTTGTGTTTACGACATAGATGATTACCTCCCTGTAGACTTTGCAATAATTCTATCTTAAAACTCTTGTTCTTGGATATCAGATATGAAAACTTCCAGGTGTCAGAAATTCGTGGCCGTCCATGCCTTGGGCGGTCTCCAAATTTAAGCGAACTTCTGGACCGAATTACAAGTGTTTCCCCATTGTTGCTTCATTCCAGCTGCACTTATGCTGTTTAAACAAGGATCACGCGACACTTGGATTGCTGTCCGAATATTTGTCTCAACTTGATGTGAACTTCCTCCGGAAACTATTGGTCCAAGTGAACAGGTCTAACGAAACGCCTGCACATTATGCTGCTCGACGAGAGGATCCGACACTGCTCCAGTCGATGCTACCTACAAGTAAGAAAATATCCAGCAACTAGTTGAAAGCACGAAAGTATCTCAGTAGGGTAGAAAATTGCAACCCTAGGTTCAAACACCCAAGCCACAAAAGGAAATCCTTGGCTTAAACACAAAACCGAGGTGCCGGAAATTTTGAAGTACTTGTGACCTGTTATCTAGTGGGAGCGAGAGGTAAATGTTGTTTACCGAGTCAATCAATCGGTAGAGGGTCCATAATGTTGAGAGACGTGTCATTTCACTCTGATCATCATTCAAGTTCAGAGACATGGATCGAATTATGATGTACGATAGGTTAAATGACAGGAATGCTAGTATTTATCCGGTTAGCTGGAGGCTTGTCATTCAGTCAACGGAGGATGAGAGAAACAATGTCCTTCCTAACTGTGGTTTGGGCAGTATGCACTGTTTATAAGGCAGGGAGAATATTACCACCATATATATATTTAAAACTGAGAAGAAACAGCCCTGTGAAAGATTTTCGAAGAGAAGAAGTAGAACACTCGGAGATGGGAATCATTAATAATCACTAACCGTTCAGCTGTAGCACCCTTTAGGTGCCTAGCTGCCATGCCAAACGAATAAGGCACAAGGGCTGGGATACTGTCAGGTTGCCCAAGCCTAGATGGGGGAATTCGAGAGGCAGAGGTCGGGTTCGAACCTTCCGGTTAGTAAATTCGCGCTCTAACCACTTGGTCCACCATGGGAATGGGAAGCAGTGAATCTCTGCAGCAATGTTAGAACGGAATTGATGTGTAACGCTCCACAATACACACGGTCCAATTCATCAGAATCTCTACCAGTAGTCTTGAATAATAAATTTAAAAGCATGTCAGACCAGGGTACCTCTCTTAGGATGAATTTATCTGGCTTGAGTCATGATTTTAATTGGACTCAATTTTCAACTGTTAGCTTGTGACCCTTGATTTCAAACGTGGCGAAATATTGTCCTACATCCGTGGTACAGCCATATCAATGAAGCAACTCCTGGAGTCATAAAAAGTTGGAATAGCTGGTTTGGTCTCTTATGTAATGGTTATTTAACGAGTCAGGTTTAACCACCACGGTTTTGACGAACAGTGATTCTTCAAGTACCTCGCCCTATTAATATTAAACTTATTTGTTGAATTGCACGTCACGTGATGGGGAATTTGTTCTGTATTATTCCTTAACAAACAACTCATCATTTCTCAGCTTGGTGTATGCCCGAGATGCTTTTAGACCGGTTACGTTTAGATTAACCACGTAGAACAGCATGTTTCCAAGGCTCTAACAAGGACAGACGCTCCTGGAAATCACTGTTATTACACTCTAACTATAATAGTGAGACGAATGATTACTCTGGTTCAGTCCTCATGCAAAGGAGAATTATAGGTGCCAACCCACTGGGTCTGAGAATTACGCAGTCTTTTTGCAATATCCATCCAGAAAGAGAACACACCGTGCTACCCATTTCATCGTGGGACGTTGTACCATCGGTTGGATTCAAGTTCGCCTGTCAAAAAGTTCAAAATCGATATAATGTGAAAATGCTTGAACAGATACTTTCCCAATTCAGGTCCTATCACTTTAGGTTCTCTCATCAGTAATGTCATTTTAACTCACATAAAGACCAGATTTGTTGAGCCGCACGGGTCTGAAATAAACTACACGTTTGTAACAAAAAATGATGTGCATATTTAGTGGTGTCTTGTCCACGACTCCTGCTGCCGGCAAATTAGCCTAAATGGGTGAATGCGAATTCAAACAGGTGGCCAAGCACCAACCATCTGCGTGGGGAATCAAGGCGGAGACCCGGTCTTCGTAAAAACGAATTTCGATCGGTTCGTCACCGCTGAGAAAAATGAAACACAAGTTCTAGTCGTAGCGATATCACACCAAATTTCACCAGGGGTGAAAGACCTACTATTGAAGTTGCACTTCGGAGTTCTCAAGAGTTTGTCTACTCAACATTGTGGAGAAGAAACGTAAATATGGCTCCTTCAGTAAAACGGCTGCTTTTGGGTTATTAGGAACAACCATTAGACTGTTTTAAGTATGAGACTCCAGGTGCTGGGTGGTTATCAAAGCTGGTCGTCAAAGCG